TCCTGAGCAGGCCTCTCCTCACGCCGGTATCCAGCGCTCTGGTTTTGTTCGGCCGCCAGGCCCTGGGACTGGCCAGGCCAATCTTTGGTCTTTGACCCCAAACAGCTGCTTTCCCAGGCCAGTCACTCCCGCCCCTGCTGGGCAGCAGTTTGCGCCTGGGGGTGGGGTGCGAGGGTGCAGCGTCCAAATCCGCACCCCAGTAACCGTGGGGCCCCTCTTGCCCAGGCAGCCCCAGCTTCAGGTGCCCAACCCAGAAATCTAGCCCTCCGAAGTCGGAGGTGGGGTGTCGCCTTAAGCCAACCTCTGCTGGCGACAGAGGGACCTACTGCTGGGGGAAGGATTAGGACTCTGTGCAGCGGTTTCTTGATGTAAAGGTCAAGCCTTACATGTGAAGGCTTGCCCACCCTCTCCGGCCCCCACTCTATACCCCCAATCGCAGGCAGTGCAGGCCCTTTGCCTGTGGATGGGGACCTCCCCACCTAGGAACCCCCACCAAGGTCCCCTGTCCACACCCTACCCGCTCATGACCCCCAGAGGCTGAGCAACTTGCTCGCCCGTGCACCCTTCCATGGTGCAGCTGACGGGCCCTTGCTGAGTGAGAGGGTGCAAGTCTTCTGCGTGGCGGCCCTTCCTAACACTCCCTGCGTTGACTTTGGTCAAAGAGCTGGCTCTCCAACCCTGGTGCCACTCTGCCATCTCTTCTTCACACTCCAGAGGGAGACAGATTAATCCCTGGGGCCAGCTCCTCCTTCCTGGGCCATTTTCCTCCCCCTAAGCCTCAGGAAATCACAGCTGTTAGCAACAGGATGTCGAAGCCTGAGGGGCTGGGGGCCCAGAATGAAGAATGTGGGTTGCACGTGTGGGACCTCCTCCCCCGGAGGTGACAGGCCCCTTTTCCTTCGCACCTTCAGTCACTCTGATGGACACAAGCACCGCACAGGGAGAGCTGGGCTGGCTGCTGGATCCGGAGGATGGGGTAAGTGGAGGGGGGGTGGGGGGGGACAGCACCTAGGGTGGCTCAAGGCTGAAGGCTAGTGGGAAACGGGGCGGAGAGGTGGGTGGAGGAACAGAGAAAAGAGCAGGAAAAACTGGAAGTGTCTCCTCTGGGAGGGGGAGGGGAGGTGAGTCAGAGCCTCCTGAATGGGCCATGGTGGGGTCAGGCTTCGTCCCATGGGGAATGCTTCAATGCCTGGTACGTCCCCTCCCTGCCCCAGGGAGGCAGGGCTGAGGACTAGGGGGAGATGAGCCCACATTATCTGGGAGAGCACGGACCATCCTGGAGATGGTTGGGCTGAGGCGAAAACCGGAAAGTGTTCTCCGTCTGAAGTTCATCCTTCTCGAATGGCTGCACAGATAGGTTCCAGGGGATCAGGGAACCCCAGAAAAGTGTGTTCACAGTTGTGTATGTGTATGTGGGCTTTTTTTTTCCTGGAGAGGAAAGCCAGAGTTTTCGTGAAATTCTTCAAAGTGTCTGTGACTCCCCCGCAATTAAAAACTGCCCGGTTAGTGGTCCCTGAGCGCACGGCACCTCCCCATCCTCCCCAGTGCATCCGAGCTGCCGAGTCTACTCCGAGTCCCTTCTCTCCTTGGCTATCCCTAAAACCCAGTGAGCAGAGAGAGGGAGGATCTTGTGAGTCACAGGGAGCACCCTTCTGCCGCTTGGCGGAGCTGGCCAGGAACCAGGGCGGGCTGGCCCAGTGGCCTCAGCCTCCGGGAGTCCGGCCTCAGGCCTTTCCTCCCTCTGGTCCTCTGAGTGTCCCCCTTTCCCTTTCCTGCTCCAGTAGGGATGGGGCCTCTATTTCTGAGGTCGGAGTGACTGGCTTTCCCTCTGGGTCCTAGGGTCCTGGCTCCACTCTCGGCTCTCCCACAGAGTAGCCTGTAATTAGAATTAATAGACTAAACCATAATGTATCCTACAGGAGGGGCTACTTGGAAAATCCTGGATTAGGCCAGCCCTAATAGGCGCCTCATCTCATAAACCAGCTAATCACTCCACAGTGAGGGCTGCAGGTCCGTCTGCTGGCTCCCACAGGCCTTCCCTGTGCCCCCGCACCTCGGCCCAAATAACGCTTCCCCAACTGGGCCGGAGTAGAAGCCAGGCACCTTTTGCAGCTCAGACTAAACAGCACTAGACGGGGCAAGAAGACAGCAGCTGTCACACACTCCCACTGTCTACCTTTCCCCCTCTCTTCCTCATCTTTTCAACACACATGCACACACACACACACACACACACACTCCCTCATCTTTTCAAAACATGCACACATGCGTACGCGCGCGCGCGCACACACACACACACACATGCACACACACACGCACACACACACACACACACGGCCAGGCTCCCCAGCATGTACCCACAGAGCAGCCAGCGGCGCCTAAGTGATAAGTGCAATGATCCTGGTTGCTGATCCTCGGCAGCTGGTTCTCCCCATCGGTCATCACTGGAACTGGGAGAGGCGAGCTACAGCTGGGAACATCTGCTTCTGGCTCCCGCTGCAGCCGAGGTCGTCTAGCTAATGAGCTGCACATTCACCACCCACCACCCACGACCCACCCACCTGCCCTCCGCCGCATGCCTTCCACTGGGCTTCCGCATCACAGCTTCCTCCTGAGAACAGGCTCTCCATGCCTTCTTTCATCCCAGCTTCAGTGCCTCCACACCCCTTGCCCAGTCTGTGAACTCCCTAACGTAATGCAGAAATAGGCCCCTGCCCCACCCTGCCCCCAATTCATAGTTAATGGTGCTTTTTCTCGCCTTTTCCCAGAGCTGGGAGCAGCCATGAACGCCCAGCATTATAGCCCACTAAAAGTGAACTTTCTAAGGGCTCACAGTCTCTTCTCTATAAAATCAGGGGGTTGCAACCAAAATATCCATGGAACATTTTATAGATTTGGGAGCCTCTTTTTAAGTTTGTCTGGTAGAGAAAATACTTAAGAATATTTGATACTATACATAAAAAAAAAAGAAAGAAAGAAAGAAAAAGAAAAAAATGGGAAACTTGTCCTCCCAGACGCCAGACCATACTATACATCAACTATAATTGCAACGTGTGGCATTGCATAAGAATACCAATTCAACGGAACAGAATAGAAAGTTCAAAAAACAAACCCACAACTATGAGTTTTTAGTATGTGATAACATTGGAATATAATCAATGTGGAAAGTATAGGCTAGTCAAATTGACAATTGGATGTCTATAATTTTAAAAATAAGAAAAAGAAGGTAAAGTTACATCTCCACATCATATACAAAAAAGTAAATTCTAGGGATATTAAAATCAAAACCTAAAAACCAAATCTACAAAAATATTAGGAGAAAATATAGAAGGTCTTTATAAGTTTGGGATGGGACAGCTTCCCAAACAAAACACACAACCCAAAAATCATAAAGGGAAAGACTATAGATGTGATTATATAAAATTTTTAAATAGGTGTCAACATCAGAGACATGAATAGTAAAATTAAGTAGCATGAAAGGGAGAAAATATTTGAAACTACATTTCGAGTAAGTGATTAATGTCCAAAATATAAAAATAACTCATCCAAATGAACAATCAAAAGATAACGATAGGATATCAAAGTTACAAACAGAAAATTGCATAAAAATTCAAATAGCCAGTGAGCGAAATAGAAACATAGAACCTCCTCTCAAAGAAATGGAAGTTAAAATGGCAAGAAGGTGCATTTTGTCTATAAGATTGGCCAAAAGTAAGAAAATCGTTAATATCCAGTGCTGATGAGCTTTTGAGAAAATTAGCCCTCAGGCAGTGTTGGCGGATATGTGAACTGATAAGGCTTTTTGCAGGACAATTTGGCAATATCTTATAAAATGTATAATATGTTTACCCTTTGATACAGCTATTCTGCAGGAATCTTATAGAAATCTACATGGTTACTTAAAAAAAAAAAACAACTAGAAGCCATCTAAATGCCCAACAATAGATGAATGTTTAAATAAATTATGGTACATGCATACAATGGACTACTGTTTTATGGATTGCTGAAAAGAATTAGGTAGATCTGTATACACTCGTGTGGACATCTTTCAAAGATGTCTTGTTAAAAACAAAAGGTAACTTACAGAATAACTCTCGTATTTTTTTTTTTTAAGTGTATGTTAAACACACAGAAAAACATTAAAAAGTTTCTTTAGGGGCACTGAGAATGATCTGGAAAGTTTTACTCTAAATTGTTAAGAGTGGCTCTCTCTGGGTGGATGGATGGGAGAACTTTCACTTTTTAATACCATGTAAGTTTTTGCTCTTCAGTTTTTCATAATAAGCACATAGAAGCATAATGATTCAGAGCATACACTCTGGAGCCTAGTGCCTGGGTGCTTTTTCCAGCTCTGTCTCGTAATAGCTGAATACCTTAGACAAGCCATTTAACCTTGCTGTGACTCAGGTTCCTCATGGGAAGTGCTTAGCGACTGCGACCGGCCCGTGGTAAGCACTATATTCATACTCGCAGTTATTAACTAAGTTTGAAAATTCTTTAAATGTAAAAGAAATTCAGTGGTGGGGGGGGCGCGGCGGCGCGGGGTGTGCTGGATGGTGTCTCGGAGTCCAGCCAACTCTGGGAGGCATGTTGGGGAGGTTGATATTCCCTTATTCAGAAAAGTTCTCTGCTGCTTCTTGCCCTCCAAAAGCTTAGGGGCCTCAATATTAAGCATAGTCCCCTTTTCTCTGAACAAATAGGCAGAAAGGTTTTGATAACGAGCTTTTGCTACAAAAGTCTGCCCCCCGGGTACTTAACAGCTCTGCTGATGAAATGGGTACAAGTTGGTGCTCATACTCTTGCTTTCGGAGTGGGTTAATTGAAGGGACCAGGGCTGGCTACAGATGTGAAAGGGATGTCATCCTGCCCATCCTCTATCCAAACAGATCCCTGACCATCATGCTTAACCTACTATCCTGGGGCCGAGGGGTGGGGAGAGGACAGGACGGGACGAGGAATGTGACCCCGGGGGGCTCTAACGCCAACTTTCTCGCCATCAGCTCTAGAAAATGAAGGTTTGGGGAACAGGTGATGACTTGGAGCCTGACTCCGACTTTCTTTTTGCAGTGGAGTGGGGTGCAGCAGATCCTGAATGGGACACCCCTCTACATGTACCAAGACTGCCCAGTGCAAGAAGGAGGAGACACTGACCACTGGCTCCGCTCCAACTGGATCTACCGGGGGGAGGAGGCCTCGCGGGTCCACGTGGAGCTGCAGTTCACCGTGAGGGACTGTAAGAGTTTTCCCAGAGGGGCCGGGCCTCTCGGCTGCAAGGAGACCTTCAACCTTCTGTACATGGAGAGCGACCAGGACGTGGGCGTCCAGCTCCGAAGGCCCATGTTCCAGAAGGTACTTCTGCCCTCCAGTGCCATTTCGGTCCTGACGCTGATCCCCGCCTCACTTATGTCCATGTCCCCGCTCAGCTAAGAAAAAGCAAAGATGGCAGAAATAGGAAGAGAGTCTAACGCGTCGAATAACGAAAAGACGGCAGAACTAGAACTCAGAAGAGCTGGGTCTGAGTGCCTGCTCTGCTGTGTCCCGACTCTGAGCACGTCCCTTAGCCTCGCCGAGCTTCGAGAATGGGGCCAGTCCTGTCTGCTCCAGAGGCTTTTGCAGGTGTCCATTGAGATATCGGCGTGCCATGGTGGAGGCAGGGAAGAGGCGTTTCAACTTTTCCCGTGACGTCCTTGGGTGACACATCCCCATGAGTATCGCTAGAGCTGTATAGGAAGATAGTCCTCTGCAGGGTCTCTAACGCCATCTCTTCCTTTCCTGCTCAAGAAAACATACTGGAATGAAGAAGAGTTAGGAGCCTGTGATTATAGGCTGTGCTCACATTTTTTTTTTTCCCTAAGAGAAGATGCTGTAAAGTTTGTTATTAGTAATAAATTAATTATGACGCACTGTATAACTGATCAGCCCATTGCACCGAGGCGGGCAGCCCCTTCACAGCAGCAGCCTCGGTCTCCGCATCTGTTAGCTGGGCACGGGGTCCATCCCACCTCGCAGGATTATGGCTTGGGTTCACAGCACAATGCCCATAAAATGCTTAGCTGAGTGGCTCACCCGGATCAGCCCTAGGGTTACGAATCAGCCCTAGGGTTACGGTTGTGTAAATGGTGAAGTAGGAAGCCAGAGGTCGTTTCTGTTAAGTGGTCACATCCCCCCTCCCCCGGCCTGCTTCCCAGGTGACCACGGTGGCTGCGGACCAGAGCTTCACGAGTCGAGACCTCGCGTCCGGCACGATGAAGATGAACGTGGAGCGCTGCTCCTTGGGCCGCCTGACCCGCCGCGGCCTCTACCTCGCCTTCCACAACCCCGGGGCCTGTGTGGCCCTGGTGTCCGTGCGCGTGTTCTACCAGCGCTGCCCCGAGGCTGTGCATGGCCTGGCCCGATTCCCCGACACTCTCCCCGGGCCCGGCGGCTTGGTGGAAGTGGCGGGCGCCTGCTTGCCCCACGCCCAGGCCAGCCCTGGGCCCTTGGGTGCACCCCGCATGCACTGCAGCCCTGACGGCGAGTGGTTGGTGCCGGTGGGGCGGTGCCACTGCGATCCCGGCTATGAGGAAGGTGGCAAGGAGTGCGTGGGTAAGGAGACTTGAGGAGGTGATGACAACCTGCGGGGACCACTCCCAGGAGGGGGACAGTGTTGGGGTGCGAAGGGAGAAAAGGAAGCCAAGGCTCCATCTCAAAGGTTATTAAACTGAATGTCTGAGTGTCCCAGGGGGACACACGTGGGGGTGTTTCCAGTACAAGGGATGGTGGGGGAGGGGCATTCTGATTCTACCTGTAAAGACACCGGACAACCATGGTTCCACTGCGTTCTCTCTCCAGCCTGCCCTAGTGGCTCCTACTGGGCGGACATGAACCCACCCCATTGTCTCAAGTGCCCCCAACACAGCACAGCCGAATCTGAGGGGGCCACCATCTGTACCTGTGAGAGTGGCCATTACCGAGCCCCTGGGGAGGGCGCCCAGGCAGCGTGCACACGTGAGTCCGGGGCGTGGCCTGGCCATCTGCGGGGGGATGCGGAACCTTTGCCGAGCCCGTGTTAGGGTCGAAATTTCCCAGAGCTTATCATATGTTGGGGACTGACTGCCGGGGTGTCCGGCACTTAAAGTCCCTCCTGCTCCCCCTTGTGCCGCCCCCACCCTCCCCCGGAAGAATGCAGGGCCTTGGTGAAGCTACTTTTCCTCAGTAGGAATGAAATCTCCCGGCGAGACCTTCAGAGGACTTCAAGAATTGGGGTGGCGGAAGGAGGCGAGGGCCGGCAGCTTAGGCTCTTACTGATGGCCCCGTTTCTCCTGTAGGTCCCCCCTCTGTCCCTCGAAACCTGAGCTTCTCTGTTTCCGGATCTCAGCTCTCCCTGCGTTGGGCGCCCCCAGCAGATATGGGGGGGCGCCAGGATGTGAGATACAGCGTGGGGTGTTCTCAGTGTCGGGGAGCGGCGCTGGACAGTGGGCCTTGCCAGCCCTGTGGGGGGAGCGTGCGCTTCTCCCCAGGGGCCAGCGGGCTCACCGCACCTGCTGTGCGCGTCGATGGCCTCGAACCCTACGCCAATTACACCTTTACCATCGAAGCCCAAAATGGGGTGTCGGGGGTGGGCAGCACTAAGCACGCCAGCGCCTCGCTCAACATCAGCATGGGGCATGTAGGTGAGGAGTCTGGGAAGGGGCTGGGCCTGGAGGAACCCGGAGGGCTTAGGACCCCAGGGACAAAGTGATGGACAGGAAGCGATCGAAAAGCTACTCAAGTCATTTCCTCTTTCCTCCCAAATCCTCCGGAACGCTGTGGACTCACAGAGTCACTGTCAGGCCTGTCCCTGAGGCTGGTGAGGAAGGAGCCCCGGCAGCTGGAGCTGAGCTGGGCGGGGGGCTGGCCCCGCAGCCCCGGCGGGAACCTGAGCTATGAGCTGCACGTGCTGAACCAGGTGAGGACGCGGCTGGGAGACAGTCTCCAAGTCTGGGCCTGGCACACCCCAACATCCTAACCTGGGGTGCGGGACGAGGGGAAACTGCCCAAAGTGAACTGCGCGGCTTTCTTGGGACAAGAGCCTAGCAGAGCCTTGCCTTAACTGGTCCCCAACCCTCCCCTCCCCGCGTGCCGCTGAGACCGCCCACCGCCTCCGCCACTTTGCGCTCAGCACCGCCCACTCAACATGAGTCCCCGCCCACAGGACGAAGAACGGCACCAGATGGTACTGGAACCCAGGGTCCTGCTGACCGAACTGCAGCCAGACACCACGTACATCGTGCGGGTCCGAACGCTGACCCCGCTGGGCCCTGGCCCCTTCTCCCCCGACCACGAGTTTCGGACCAGCCCACCAGGTGGGTGGCTCATCCTGTGTTCTGCCCCAAACACACAGGCACCTGTCATCCCACTGGGGCGTCTCAGATCCTGTTCTAGTCAGT